AAAGCTATATGATTTACCATATGTCCAGGGTCTTGATACTCCAATGTTATGGTGGGGGTCTTTGAAAAACCGGCCATATTATCTTTTGGTACTTGCATGTATGCTTTTCAGTATCTCACTATCCCAAGCTGGCTGCGAGCGAAGTTTCTCGATTCTTAAATAGTTTATTAGAGAAAAGCGTCTACGTCTTGATAGCAAAAAACTTGAAGAAATGGCAAAGATAAGACTATATTATATGACTAATATATGGAAAGAACTTTCTCATTTTGAGGTTGAGTTCTCTGAATCAGAATTGCGTGATATGATAAACCTCACATCAATAAATAGCTATATTGATGATGATGAAAAAGCAGACGAAAGTATTAATTTGTTTGATAACAATCAAAATTTTTCAACTGGTACTAACTTAATTTTGGAAGATATCATAAATTTAAGAGACCCGATCTTTCAAGATGATAATATCATACCAAACGAAATTTCTAATAATAATCTAAGCAATAATGTTGAAGACAGTATTAATATAGATTTTAATCCCGAAAACCTTGTCAACACCGTTTTAAATAATGAATTAGACTAGGTATGATTAAGTATTTCTTAATACGTTAGTTATTCGATCTTTAATTGCTTCTAATAAATTTTTTTTTTTGTAATCTGCAGGTAAAAGAATTACTTGCAGAAAATTATTGAAAAAACATGCAGTAGGTAGGATTGCTTGCAGAAAATTATTGAAAACTTGTCAAAAGTTATGAAATCACTTATTTTTGTCTTATATATGTCAAATCATAATTATCTGCAGGTTAAATATGTAATGCACTATATTAGCATTAAGATAGTACAAATTCTCTCAAAATTTTTTTTTATACAAAAAATTAAATATTTTATACTGTACTACAAACTACAAACAAAACAAAAAAAACCCTAAAAAATAGCCAGTTTTTTCTTATGCAAAAAATTCTGTAATATATACTCCCTTATTATATTTTTCTATGGCTTCGCCACAAAAACTATCTCATATATGAGTGGTGCTAAGCGAAGTTGTAACTTCATTTAATGCTAATATTATTGATTTCGACAGTATTATTGGGGATAAATTCTATAAGGTTGAAATAATAAAATACGTAAGAACCTAGAGGGTTTTATTTTGCGCACACATTATCTTTGGGTCTACATTTAGACTGGTCTTATTTTATTCTCATAAATTTAATAGATAAATAAAATAATCAGTTATTAATTGAAGTCTATATAATCTGAGAAATTTACCATTTAAAGATCTTTTCAATTATATTTGATTTGTGAGAATGAAACTTATTAAATTAAGTACATTTATAATAAATATTTTACCTGCGTTACTATGAAGATTAGTTATTAATATATTTGATAATTTGTAATTCTAAAGTTATCATTTTATTAATACACTTGATAATTTGTAATTCCAAAGTTATCAATATGAATCATAGTTTAGATAGTTCTTGTTGTAGTGTCGACATATTAGTATAGATTTTTGTGTAGCAGGATATAATAGTAGATCAAATATTATGGGATAATGCAAATTTTACGGCACAAGTCGAATGTTACTACATAAGTAGATATTACAGTAGATGTCAAATGTTATGGCACAGGTCAAATGTTACGGCACAAGTCGAATGTTACTACATAAGTCAGATATTACAGCAGAAGTCAACTGTTACACAAAGATCAAATGTTATGACATATGTTACTTATGACTTTTTGACGCATCATAATGTCATTGAGTTAAGTCCGATTGACATTATAACTTCACCATAAGTTTGCATCTCTAGTGTTTTGAATTCACTTTTCTTCTCTAGTAGCCTTTTAAATAGCTTGCTTTA